TTCTTACACTTACTTAGGCAGTCAAGTGATTTGTTAAACTGTTAAAGGTAAGACTTATTAGACTAGATAAGTTGTACACTGGACAATGTACTATACATTCTTACACTTACGTAGGCAGTCAAGTGATTTGTTAGACTGTTAAAGGTAAGACTTATTAGACTAGATAAGTTGTACTCTGGATAGTGTACTATACATTCTTACACTTACATAGGCAGTCAAGTGATTTGTTAAACTATTAAAGGTAAGACTTATTAGACTAGATAAGTTGTGCACTGGATAGTGTACTATACCCTTGACTGCCTACGTAAGTGTAAGAATAATAGTCTAACAAATCATGTACAACTTATCTAGTCTAATAAGTCTTACCTTTCTGGATAATGTACTATACATTCTTACACTTACGTAGGCAGTCAAGTGATTTGTTAGACTATTAAAGGTAAGACTTATTAGATTAGATAAGTTGTACACTGGATAGTGTACTATACATTCTTACACTTACGTAGGCAGTCAAGTGATTTGTTACACCATTAAAAGTAACACTTACTAAGTTAGATAAGTTATATGCTGGAAGTATCATTGTGGAATTATTCAAGGTTCAGGATTATGGTTTGGAAAGACGTGATAATTTTTAGTTCAAATAACATAATATTGTAATAAGCTATATTTTTAAAACTGTTGTTTAAATGAGCTGCAAGTTTTAATGATAATGTAGAGATCAAAAGGTTTAATAATATAGACCTAAACAGAACATTGTTAAGGATGTGATATAAAGTTATTTTTAATTATCTGTTGAAAATAATTCAACATCCAGTTTGTATGGTGAAAATAAATTACTTTATTTCCTGTTTTATACAAATTTGAACTCTTATGTACGGCCATAAGTTTACTGTAGACCCACATTACACATGATGTTAACTAGTGTAAAACCAATACTTTCTTGTGTAAAGTAAGTTCATTAGTTAACATAGTGATTCACTTTCTATCTTGAAACAAGTCAATATCTGCCTAAACTTGTATATATAATCTATTTTCGAATATGTTAAAAAATTTACATCACATTCTTAGAATTTACTTGTAGGTGTTTTAGGCCTCTCTTAATAAATGTTTTATGTCTTTATTAAAACTTGCAGCTACTTCTAGCTAACATTGAAATTCCAGTGTTGAAAATATAACTTATAACAATATGCTGCTCTTGGTAACCTCTTTTTAAAGCATCAGTTATATAATCCTTTGTTCATGAGAGGACTTGGGTTCTGTCCATTAGCTGTTTCTTCAGTTAATTTATTGGATGTTAGAGCTGAGCGACTAACTTAGTTAATCAGTATAATAGATCACACACCAGCATCAATTACGTCGTTTAGTGGCACGTAAAATTATTGATTTATGGTGAAAATCGATTAATTGAAATGTTACCCCAATAATTTTGATTTATTCAAGGTTATTCAGACATCTGCATCAATAGCTAATACTTACTTATTCCTCACAACATAAACATGTTTATTGTACATTTCTGTTAACTTCTAGAATATGGCTTGTTATTAAGTTGTATGTTTTTTTTTAAGACAGTTGGGTAATGTTTGTTAATAGAGTTATGTTCTGTTTTATAGAGCTGAGTGATTAACCTAATTAATTGATTACTTATGAGCTTCAATTAATGTCCTGAAAATAATTAACAAGCATTTCCAATTATGACTGTTTTCAGTTACTCCAACTAGTAGTAATCAAAATTTTGCCATTATATTCTTTGATAGATTGTTAGAGCAGAGTATTCATGATGAAACTTTGTTGAATGGATGACAACGGCCTGTTATAGAGACACAAGTGTAGAGGACGATGTTTTGAAAGTCTTCCGCCTTCAGGTCCTCTACGCTTGTGTCTCTACAACAAGCCGTTGCCATCTATTCTACAAAGTTTCATTTGCCGTTATACTTTTCGATTGAATTTTTTTCAACTTGATCTATTTGCATCACAACTCACAAAAATAATCAAGTAATCAAGATTGGGATTATTGAGTATTACTGTTTTTATTATATCAGCTATCTAAGTAATTTTAAATATTGTTATTATATTTGTTGTTGAACACAACTACACAATGGGCTATTTGTGTTCTGCCCATGATGGTTATCAAAACTGAATTTTCAGAATTGTAAGTTTTTTAGTCAACTCACTTGAGAATATTTTTCAGCCATATCATGATAATAATTAATTAATTGAATGTAATTTATTAACGAGCTCAACAGTTAATTGTTTAGCAAATTCCATTCAGCTCCAATGTTTTATAGTTTTGTCGTGTTTTTTTATAGGTTCATAATTTTACACAGTTCTTCCAAAATACATAGACTTATTGCTTAAAGTAAACGAGTAATTGTAATAGCCAAACAAGCTACTTTTGACATGTTATGTTTTAAGTTTGCATATAAGTATAGTTAATTTTTTCTGCATGCTATGGGATCATTTAGTTTACATATGTAGTTGGGATCATTTAGTTTACATATGTAGTTGATTGACTGAGAGAAGGCAACACCATAGATATGTCAGAATGATCAAATCTACAGGGTTTGTTGTATTCTATAACAAGTTATCTATTCCTTGATATTTACTGTGTTAGTATAATCCTTTCTTATGCAAATATAAATGTTATAACATTTATTTGAAAATTGTTTAAAAAAAGTTGAAATATTTGAAACTAAATATTGATTGTTAACCTTGTATGGAATTAGTAAATGAAATGACCTAGAAGAAAAAAAATTTTGTATTTTACTAGGTGGTTATAGTATTTTAGATTTATGTATTTTTTTCAGATTCCCCAGAGGAGCTAGAGGATAACATATTAACTAATTCTCATAAACGAAAACCTGGTCGTCCTAGGAAAATCCATCAGAATCAGTCTAAGCCTCTAATTAAAGTGAATGTACCTAAACGGCCAAGGGGTAGACCCCCGAAGTATGGAAGACTTGAAGTGTTGGTTAATTCTGATCCTACACAGAAGTTAGATGATGAAAAGGAGCAAGATTTGAAATATGAAGAAGACCAGAGTCATGATAGTGACAGCAGTTGTGGATCTCGTAAAAGACGGCAAGCTGCTCAACGAGTATTGCAAATGAAATGGAAAGATGGAGTGAAATGTCCTTACTGTGTTTATATTTCTCGTGGAGCAAACCGTCTTGAGCAGCACATGTCCACAGTCCATGCCAAAGATGTAACGTACAAGTGTGGCGTATGTGAATTCACCTGTAGCTGGAATCGTGAGTATTGGGACCACATGAGGGCTCATTACGATGGCCCACCTTACAAGTGTGAGTCTTGTGATTATACCTGTGAGAGGATACAGTTTCTGTTGACGCATCGAATGAAACATACGGATGAAAAACCATTCCAGTGTGAAGAGTGTGGCTATCGTTGTCGTACAAAGTGCAATCTAATTGCCCATAAAAGAAGCCATACTGGTGAGAAGCCTTATAAATGTGAGCACTGTGGCCGTTGCTTCAGTATGAAAGGATCCCTTGATCAGCACATGGCTACTCATAGCAACATCCGACCTTTTCTTTGCGACATGTGTGGATTTTCTACAAAATACCAGTCACATCTACAGCTTCATCAGAAGATACACACAGGTGATGTTTTCCGTTGTGGTCATCCCAATTGTACGTACTTTACACCAAAGAAGAGTCAGTTGGCTGCTCATGCCCGAACCCATACTGCAGAACGATCTCACATCTGTGCTGTTTGTGGACGTGCCTTCATAGAAAAGAGTCATCTTGTACGACACGAACGTATTCATTTGAGTGATAAACCTTATAAATGTGACCAGTGTGAATATAGTAGTACAAGGCGAGATAAACTTAAAGAGCATGTTGAAAAACATCACAGTGCAAATGCTACTGCAAAAACTCCTTTTAAACCTAGACGACCTCGTCGCCAGACATACGATCCAGCTTGTTTTCCAAATCTAGATTTACAGGTTGCACAAGCAACACGTGTTGTCAATGAAGTACTCGCTGACACATCTCACCACAGCTCAGAACAAGAACCGGCATCTTGTCAGTATCCTTATGGCACAGAAGTTTGCCCAGAACCCTCGACCAGAGTTCTTGTAGTGCAGAGCCCTCCTGAAGGTGTTCCAGTGTCAGTGCACCACCAGCAAGTGTCCATGGTAGACCCACTCCCACAACATAGCCATCCTGGTCATCACCCCCAAGTCATGTATGTGGAATCAAGAATGATGCCACCAAACCAACATGCAAACGTCAGTGTGCTACCTGCCAATATTCATCACCAGCATCATGCTCCATCTCATCATCATCACGCTCCTCCTCCAAGACCTCCTGTCTCCACAGGTCACAATCCGGGAGATGGAGGAGGAAACTATCCTCATCCACAAGACCTTGGAGGTCTTGGGGCCTTTATGGCTTTGTTCTGATGTAGCATAGGTTAAATGTTTCTTTTTGTTGTTGTTTTTATAAGGAAAAAAAGTGCCATCTCCTGTGACTTTGCAACAAGAAGATATAATGGATTACTATTATTGTTTTTTTTTTTTGCTCTCTCTGCCAAACCTAATACAATGTGCTGTCTGAAGTGTTACTTGTGGATTATATGGTTTTTAATCTTGAGCTATTCATTTTGCACATTTGCTTGTGTCTGTGGTATAAGAACTGATTTTAATGTAGTACATTTTATCACTAAAGCAAAAGTTGCATCTGATGCTGTTTTCATTGAAGTAGACATAATCAGCAACTAATATTATCACAAAAGTTTAATTTTTGTGAATGCATTAAGTACTTGTACAGTAAAACTGTTTGAAAGAGTGGTGTGTAAATTAGTTGGTAGCTTTTTTTTATGTGTATATGACATGGTTCAGCATATATTACAGTTTCGTATCCAATTCAATAAAACTTCATCTCCAGAAGTTTTCATCACCTCTGTGAGAACAGAATGTGTGTATTTGGATGGTCGTGCAAACATGGTCCAAGCAAGTGCACTACAGAAGTAATAAGTGTATTAGTGTTGCCTATAACAGTCAACATCTTAACTGTTACACTAGCAGTTTCCATAGTGAAATAGAGTATAGTTCAGTTTGCAGACTGATCTGTTATTTGATAAGTGTGTCATGCCCATATTTCAGTGATTTACAGTTTTTTTTAGCAAGTCTAGTGATCAAACTAAATCTTTCAGAAGCACAAATATAATTTTAATGATTTAGCTGTACCAAGGTATGTACTGATGTTATGAAGTTTATTAAAATAGTGAAATACGTATTGATTTGAAAGTTACTCGTGTGAGTTACGAGATTGTGTGATGGGGCATCCACTGCTTCATAGGACTCTAAAGCAATATCTTAAACTTATAAGATATCTAGTGACTTTAATTGTTCATATTCTAATTTTTTGTATTTCATTAATGCTCTGTTTTGGCACAGCAAATAACAAGTTGTTTCATTTGTTTCAGACTACATTCTTTGTAGCTAAAGTTGGCTATGATAATGGAAGATGAGTAATGCATTATACTGTGATATTGCAAGAGCAAAATGAGCTGGAGATTTAAAAAAGCAGTGAAAGATAAATGTACATGGAAGTGTGGTAAAATCCTACCTACATTAAGATCTGTTCAAACATCAAACTGATTCTTCTATAACTGTGTTTCTCAACCTTTTTTTTGCCACAGCAAACAGTGAGTACTCATGCCCCCTTCTAATAAATTTTTAGGCCATTAAAATATTTTACTAAAATGAAAATTGTAAGACGATAATAGTCAATTATTATGGTTTAATTCTAACAAATATAACTTTTGAAACCCTCAAAACTCTTCTGTCTGCTCCTTCCCTCTGAATTTTAAAAACGTCCACTAGAGGGCAGTACCGCTCAGGTTGGGAAACACTGTTCTACAAGATAAAGATGTTTACCAAATTTTCTAGGCTTTGATAACTGGCTAACTGTTTTAACATTCCTTCTCTACATCAACTGGTGGTAGTCGCAAATAAGATTAAAATTTGAATCAGTGTGGAGCCTGATTGGCCAATGATGTAGAAAGTTCTACAATTTGAATCAGTGTGAAGCCTGATTGGCCAATGATGTAGAAAGTTGTTTAAAAAAGTACACATAAGCCACTGCAGGGCAAGTTCTTTTGTCTTGGTTTCTGTTTTTTATGGGTTTTTTTTTACAATATTATCTAGTTTTATATGTTGTAACACTGGACAGGTTCATAAATTACAATTTGGTTTTCAGTGAGATACAACAATTTGGAAACTTGTGGCCAAATGACTTTCATGTTTTAATTGAAGGAGACAGGTTCTGGTGACCTGGTTTATATTCATTTGGAACTTTCTTTGGAAACAGTTACATGTAATAACATACATTAAACTACTAACTGCTATTGATGATTTGTTTTGTTTTTTTTTACTACTGATCATTGTACAGATTCAGTGCCTTCAATTATTAACTGCTAAACATTTCCAATTAAACTGTTTTATTGTAGTTAAATATAACAGTGTATTTCATATTCTTTGTAGAATAATTTGTGCAGTTTATCGAGTAGAATATGAATACATAGTTTAAGAATGTAACATGACATTTGAAGTAATATAAACAATGTATCTGTGTATTCTGTTATTATAACAATATGCACATTATTTTGTACAGTTTATTTTTTTGTATAATTTGGTGTTTTTCAGTACGTGTGTTTTTAATTATATATATATTTCAGAAAAATATAGTTCTCCATAAAAAAACAAATTAAGTAAAAGTTAAGTTCAGAAGAGACGTATAATAAGTTATTTAACATGTTTGCAAGAATATTTTTAATTGAAAATAAAACTTATTTGCAAGCTTTATTATGACAATTGAAACTTCTGTTTTCAATATGATTCAATGAAAATCCCAGTAGATGATCTTATAACTATTTCAGTGATGATATGGCTGTGTTTTGGAGCACATTTTTCAAGTACATATTCATACACTTGTGAAAAAACAAAGAATGAATGACCTGAGATGACAGTAATTCTCAGTCTTTATATGTATTCATGTATTTTGGCAAAAGAATAAAATTTTAAGTGAAAATAGATGCATTCTGTTTTATGTTATATAAATGTTATAAGTTGTCTTACAGAATTAATAAATCCTTTAGAAAATACACTAAAATGGTAATATTTCTGAAATGAAAAAAAAACGATTATTGCTGGAACTTGCCTAAAATTATCCTTTTGAGTTTAAAGTTAATCTTTTGTAGCTTTGTTCTCATTGTAGCAGCACTTGTTTCATTATTTTTCTCTAGATTGTTAAAGTTTACTGTGGAGATAAATACGACATGCAAGTAAAGTGGACGGTCAGGTAATTGTAATAGTATGGCAATATACAGAATGTTATTAGGGTTACATCTTTAGTCTTAGTATGATGTTAAAATAAACTCAGTTACGCAAATAACTTTATCATTAGTCCTAAGTAAGCTTTGTAATAGTATGGCAATATACAGAATGTTATTAGGGTTACATCTTTAGTCTTAGTATGATGTTAAAATAAACTCAGTTACGCAAATAACTTTATCATTAGTCCTAAGTAAGCTTTGTAATAGTATGGCAATATACAGAATGTTATTAGGGGTACATCTTTAGTCTTAGTATGATGTTAAAATAAACTCAGTTATGCAAATAACTTTATCATTAGTCCTAGGTAAGCTTTGTAATAGTATGGCAATATACAGAATGTTATTAGGGGTACATCTTTAGTCTTAGTATGATGTTAAAATAAACTCAGTTATGTAAATAACTTTATCATTAGTCCTAGGTAAGCTTTATAATAGTATGATGTTAAAATAAACTCAGTTATGCAAATAACTATCATTAGTCCTAAGTAAGCTTTGTAATAGTATGGCAATATACAGAATGTTATTAGGGGTACATCTTTAGTCTTAGTATGATGTTAAAATAAACTCAGTTATGCAAATAACTTTATCATTAGTCCTAGGTAAGCTTTGTAAAATAAGGTAGTTAAAATTGCATATAGAAGATTCAATAGTTTTGACCAAAAAAGGTTTTGTATGTTAATTGCTAGTATTTATTATAAATCATAGGCCATCTTTTCTTTCTGTGATATTTATCAAAAGGAAGGCTAATGTACACATCAGCCATATTAGCTACTGTGAAAGAAATCGTAACCTAATGTTATTAATGGACCAGACCAGAATTTGTACGAATGTTCACCCAAGAACTAAGGATGCACTGTATCAAAATCTGTAAAAATGTTCTTTTATCAAGACCTAATGATTATCAATTAGACCAGATTGATTTAGTCTCAAATTTATCTTCAAGTAATTTTTTAAGTTGTTGATTTCAAGTTGTCATCCACTGCTTGATGATATTATCTTTCTTTAAATGACATTGAAAAATTATAAATGGGATTTTACCTCATTAGTCGATGAAGCAGTTTAAAAATAATATAAATTGTGAGTTGTAAAGTAACATGCATGTACATGTAAATAGCAGCCAGTCAACAGTGCCCTACAATTAATCATTTATGCTAATTTATTGACTAAAACTCTTATAAGAAAAAAAAAAAAACCACAGGTTAAAATGTAGGGAATATTTAGTGCTATCACAGGGACTTAAACCTTCCCACCTAATGTAAAATAAAAACACTCTAAGTCGGCCATTATCATTCAAATGTTTATCAAACTTCCCCTTAAAGGCCAAACCACCCTGTTAGATAAATAAAACATCTAATAAATACATCTTTCTTTTCTGTCTTCATTCACTATACATTTAAGTCATTAACAGTTTGAATAATTCAAGAAATCGGGGATGTAGCCAAAACAGTGATAGGTTTGATAAAATAATCAGATAGTGACAACATTGGGGATGTTAAGTTATTAATAGGTTTAATATTGATAAATGGTTTACAAGAACAGAAACAGTGATAGGTTTGATAACAATAATCAGATAGTGACAACATTGGGGATGTTAAGTTATTAATAGGTTTAATATTGATAAAATGACACTAGATTGTTCTTTTAGTTTTTTGCATTTTTCTTAATTATATGCTGGGGATTTCGTATGGGAGGCATTTCTCATAGCATTTTAGCTAGGAATTTTACAGATGTTCACCTTCTAATGAAGTTTCAAAAACCCTAGTTTTGATTACAAAATTCCTAATGAGAAGGAACAAAGTTGTAGTTTGAACAAGATAATTTATTTCTTTGTTTTGATTTTAAGTTATAAAACCATACTGAATTAAAGTAAATAGGTGCAGTCCAAACTAATTTTGGATTATAATGTTCGGATAACTTTTGTTTTATAGTATCAGAAATATCCAGGGTATAATTATTTTGAATTTTTCTGGGATGTGTTGGTGTTGCACAACATTTAAAACTTTTGTTAATGTTTTTGTCAATAAGAAGTGGCATATTTTATTTACTTTTGTAAGAAAACGGATGCATGTGTGTTTTGGTGTCGATTTTATTGAAAATTGTATGTACCTGAGTAATGAAGATGGAAGGATGCTTGCTGCAACTTTTGGAAATAAAGATGTACTTTTACTTCCAGTTCAGTATTGACTAACTTCAAAATAATCTAAATTATATGGACAAATTATGTGCTTAAAAAGTATAGATATTCATAAAGTAATGGCCAGGTGGTTAGGGCGCTCGACTCCCCGTCACACCAAAAATGCTTGCCCTTTCAGCCGTGGGGGCATTATAATGTGACGGTCAATCCCACTATTCGTTGGTAAAAGAGTAGCCCAAGAGTTGGCGGTGGGTGGTGATGACTAGCTGCCTTCCCTCTAGTCTTACACTGCTAAATTAGGGACGGCTAGCACAGACATGGCCAGGTGGTTAGGGCGCTCGACTCACAACCTAAGGGTCGCGGGTTCGAATCCCCGTCACACCAAACATGCTCGCCCTTTCAACCGTGGGGGCGTTATAATGTGAT